ATCAGACGTGATGGGCGAGTGTTCAACGGGAACTCAACGTGTTTCAGTCACGTTGTGAAATCCCATCACGCAGCCACTTCAGAGAGATGATCGTACCCCAAACCCTCAAAAGGGGACAAATTATGCCGTTAAAAAAAAAAAAAAAAAAAAAAAAATCAGTTGCGCCTCTTATAAACAGAAAACATAGCTCCGTTCATGGATCTGGGGCCCGCAAAAACAATTGGGTCGGCCGTCACAAAAAAATGGATCGTCAACAACTTTGCTCCACATGATGCAATGAAGCAATTCTCATCAACTGATGCTGCGCAACAGAGAAACAGCAACCCTGTATCGGACTTTGAAGTGCTAACTTATAATATTGAAACTGGAGTCAACCCCCACCCCCCAACTGAACCGCAAAAACATGGCCAAAAAAAAAAAAACGGATCGTCAACAACTTTGCTCCACACGATGCAATGAAGCAATTCTCATGAACTGATGCTGCGCAACAGAGAAACACCAACCCTGTATCGGACTTTGAAGTGCCAACTTATAATATTGGAACTGGAGTCAACCCCCACCCCCCAGCTGAACCGCAAAAACATGGCGTGATTGTCATGGAAGAAGTGGACAGCCACAAAGAGGAATGGCCCAAAATATGAAGAGAGTGGCTATTTGGAGGATTTCGGCAATGATCGGTGCCCTAATCACTGAAGGCATTTCAGCGACAGACTCGGCGCTTTGCTTTCTCGCCACAGGTCCATTTGGAATTAGAAACAGAAACACGCACATACAAAACTCAATAGCTTTGAGTCACAACAATCAACTGTTGCCAGAAAGTTGACAACAATTGTCGCATTTTTGAAAGACAAATAGGCGAACGTTTCAGGCTTAAAATGTGCACTGCATGGTTTGGCTCCCCAGTCACGGCCCCAAAGGACTCTGGGAAGTTGTAGGAATATACAGGACGTTCATCCTTGCCGACCACAGAGTCGGGGACGCAACTTTTTGTGCGACATCGTGGAACGGGAATGTACGTCTTAGCGCGAGGCTACGCTCCCATACGCCACCAGGACAGAGCCAGGAGAGACACTCGCTGGATGTCCACGTCGGATTCGATGCGTGCAAATATAAAATAAAATGTCAGGCAGCACGAAGGAATTCTTTCCACTCACCTCCTGGGTCGCTTCTGCTTATTCTTGATGCGGCTTTTCCTAGTGGGCTTAGGCAGAATTCTCCTCTGCAAGTCAAGCACAGTCACTCAGTCGGGTCAGGTACACAGACATCTCTTTAGGACGGACATTTGCAGTCTTGACACTTCATTTAAATACATTTTTCATATTTACTTTAGTTACAACTACTTTACCATGTACTCATTGTGTCTCCGACTTCCTCGTTTTTGCATTTCATTTCATGTACTGCACCTCAGATGCCAACATTACTTTACTGTCATTAAAACAAAACAATCTAACTAAAGCTTCTGTCAAATGTGGACTGCATGGTTTGGCTCCCCAGTAAGGGCCCCAAAGGACTCTGGGAAGTTGTAGGAATATGCAGGACGTTCATCCTCGCCGACAGTGACGTCGGGGACGGAACTTGTTGTGCGACGTTGTGGAATGGGAATGTACGTCTTGGCGCGAGGCTACGCTCCCATACGCCACAAGGACAGAGCCAGGAGAGAAGCTCGCTGGATGCCCACGTCGGGTGAGGACGAAGGAGAAAAAAAAAAGGAAGAACCCCCCCACCCCCCTGAATTGTACAATCAATTTTCCGAACCTGCGCAATGAAGACCACGTGCTTCCCGCTGAATTTCTTTTCCAACTCCCTGACCAGGCGCACTTGAATCTTCTGGAAGGACTTCAGCTGAGGAACGGGAACGAAGATGATGATGGCTTTCTTGTTGCCGGAAACCTCGATCTCCTGTTCGGAAGGACAAGAAGAGAGAAACAACTTCAGCGTCACAAATTCAGAACACCCCGTTGTCAAACGGTCATTCAGGGAATGTGCACTGCATGGTTTGGCTCCCCAGTCACGGCCCCAAAGGACTCTGGGAAGTTGTAGGAATATACAGGACGTTCATCCTCGCCGACCGCAAAGTCGGGGATGGAACTTTTTTGTGCGACGTCGTGGAACGGGAATGTACGTCTTAGCTCGAGGCTACGCTCCCATACGCCACCAGGACAGAGCCAGGAGAAAGACTCGCTGGATATCCACGTCGGATTCGAGGCGAGCACGCCTCATTTCAAGCAGCACAAAGGACGAAGAAGACACGCGACAGTTGGACAGACAAGGCGACGGTACATTTAAACTTGTCGCCAGTCCACATCAGGGCTATAGAAAATGCAAACAACCCAAATCCACAATTATTTTGTTGCGATGTTTAGGCCGTTTGTATGCAAAAATGACATTCAAACTCGAGAAAATAGTTAAATTTACTCAAGATGTAGCATTCACTCTACACTGATTGGTCAGCTGAAGCGAATGAGAGCTTGAACCGGATTCAGCCGGTCTGAAATGAGGTTTTCCGCGTGGAGCTCGAAAATGATTGTTGAGGTCACCTTTGCTGCAGTGATGTTGAGTTCTCTCAGCTGAGCCTTGAGATCGGAGTTCATCTCCAGCTCGAGCAGAGCCTTCGGGGGACACAAGGCACAAAAAAATAATAAAAATCATGACACGCCAAGACATTTGACGCTACCGTTGAGATCGGAGTTCATCTCCAGCTCGAGCAGAGCCTTTGGGGGACACAAGGCACAAAAAAAATAAATAAAAATCATGACACGACAAGACATTTGACGCTACCGTCCAGGCCAATGTAAAAAGACTGCAATAAATCCAATAAAAATAATCTTATAAGTTAGCAAAGGTACATGAATGAAATTTATTATTTTTTTGGGCTGAACTTAAAATTGTGGAGTCTTGCCACACACTTTTGGGGGCATTTTGGGTGGCACCGGAACGACTGTTTCACAAGGTTCACTGCATTTAGGGATTTCAATTTACCGCGACTGATGAAAGAACAATTTTCTAATTTCAAACAACTTGAAAATTTGAGAGCAAGTGCATGTGCTATAATAGTCAGAAACGACCCACATTTATAGGTTGGCAAACCCCTTTAACAACTTCAAGGTGAGCGAGCTGTTTTTCAAAATCCGTAATCACATCATTATATTATTTTCTTCGCCTCTGCCAAATCTGATATCCAATAAACCGATAACCGGTTGTATGTTCACTCATTCTAAAATCAATTTGTTTTAATTAAATCATATTTAAGTGTAAAATTAAACCCGACATCACCTGACTGCCATGTGCAAACTTGGTTTCATGCTTGACCATAATAACGTAAAACGGGCTTACTATACAATTACTTTAACTTAAGTTTATTTCAACCAACACATTGTATTTTGCAAGCTTCCCAAAGATACACGGCTTTTGAAAACAGGCTTAAAGTTTGCAAAGTTACAAAGCAATTCAACAAAAAGGTCACACCTAAAAAAACCCTGATCACTTTTGCCTCACGCTGGTGCATTTTCACCAGTTTCAAATATGTCTCGTTTACGTTGGTCTCATGTGCATCACAGGCTTAGAAATTTTACACACATACCTACCACTTACCTGGGATATCCCCGACTCAAACTCGTCTGGCTTTTCGCCATTTGGCTTCACAATTTTTGCACTCGTGCTGAACATGGCCGTTGTCTCTGCAAACAAATAAATCACGTTTAATTTAGACTTCAACGCAAGACAGCACATCGAGCTAGTTACGACTACAAACAGACTGGTAAGCAAAGCCTAAGGTACTGTATGTACTTGGCTAAGCTATTTTATGGATAAGTCTTGGAAAATTGCACAATATACACACTACATTAGAAAATAAGACAGTTAGCCAATTAGCTATGATACTGCCTTGGCAAGCAAACAGCCACCCCGAAGCACACACTGTTGCCATGACCAGGATTATTAACTAGCATTTTCTTCACACCAAAACGCGACTCGCTGAATTAGAAGTACTGTCCTTTATCCGCGGTACGGACTTAAAAATAGCTGTTTAAATTGAACACACGCACGGCCTGCTCCGAGCCCCATTGCAACTAGCATTCACTCGAGCTACTCCACCACGCTTTGTTGCGTCGTTTAAAACTGCCATCCGCCATCACATAGTAGTCAATCTAAGCCATCACATATGTAAAAAAAAGTTTACGCTACAAAGACATGTCGGATCAAGCTTATTTGGCCACATTACGAAGAATAAAGACCATCCGGCCATATCGTCACGACTAACCTCAGTCAAAGACGGCCAAGGAAGAGACCGGAACATCGCGAGAATTGTATTAATGCACAGCAGAGGCAAGGGAAATTGTCGCGAGAGAAGATTGGATCTCGTCATCAGGTTATCGCGAGAATTTGTATTCACCCGGAAATAAATGGCTTATTTTGAGAATGTGAATTTTTCTTCTTTCGCGTATTTTTTATAAGCGCGAAATTTGGCTTTTCGTTTACAATAATTATGAATATTTAAAAACCACTCGAAGCGTGACAAATAAAACAAGCTCTAAAAGGTCACCAAAGCAAATGATCAAAGCCTGCTTAAAGTACCTCGTAAAATAGAACAGTAGTACCATACCTTAAACCGCATATGGTAAAAAATTAAAAGCGACAGGGCAGGGCAACCTCATAGTGTAACGTTATTACTTAGTGACACGTAAGACAAATTACAAAAAGTCATATTTTATTCAGTGATTTCTTTATTATTTACAGCTTTATGAAAAAATGAAACCAATCAAATATAATACAGAACAAAGTGTACGTTTCAAAGAGAGCGCTTTGTGAAGCGCATGCTAGTCTGATGATGATGAACCACATGAAGTCTCCCTTGATGCTTGACAAAAACATTTGCCCACGTGGTAGCTTTGGTTCAGATTTCCAGCGTGTCTGTAAGGACAACCAGCGCCTCCTTGTGGTTGACAGTTGACATTTCCTAAGACGTGATAACACGTTCCTAAACGAACCGTCAGCGTTTACTGTCACAGTAAAGTTCCACAACACAAACCGTGAAAGTAAAACCACCAGTGTCGCTCTCAGAGCCTTTTTTCAATCTTTAGAGGTGAATGTTTGTTTACAAAAGTAACAAATTTGGCGCGTTCATCCTTGAATATCCAGAATCTCAACTCAACTGTATTTATGAGCACTTTCAGCCATCGCTGCATACAAAGTGCTGTACATGGAGCAATTTAACATATACAACAAACAGTAAAGCAAATCGGTAATAAAGACGGTAGAAAGCACCGAACAGCAAAACCAAGAACAAATCGAAGTCATGCTGAGTCAAATGCCAAAGAATACAAGTGAGTTTTGAGGCGGGTTTTGGAGATGGGCAGCGAGGAGGCTTGCCGAATGTTCCTCTGCCTGGTTCTCCTTTTTCTTCCGTTTTTAGCTTCTTTAAAAAATCCCTTAGTTTCGCTGATAGGGCGGAACTACCCTTTTTACTGATTTTCACATCAACAGATTGGATAGACCAAGATGACCCCAGTATTGGATTCTTACGGAGATTTTATCCGAAGCAGTGCATTTTTTCTGCAAAAACGGGAGATCTATTTTTGTGGAGTTGTGTGAGATTCCTTACAAGAACGAGCTCGACCGAAGCCGTCACAGATTGGTAAGAAGGCATGACCCGCAAGATAAATAGCTTTCTCCCAAAACTTTGCAATATAAAAATCTAACTGATAAAGATAATTTTATCGACTAAGACTAAAAACAAATTGCAACCTCTAAAAATTAGGCAAGGTGAACCTCGGGAGCGTTTCGGGACCTGATCAATCTGCGAAAGGCGCACTGACGATAGACAAAGCAAAATAGTATCATAACCACATTTATTCGATTTTATCATAATTATTATTTTATCATTTACTCCTTGTCATATTCTTTATTTTTATCTTATATCTCTTTCAATTATCCCTTTTTTCTATTCTTTAACCCTTTTGCCTATTATATACCTAAATTGTTTTTATTATCTTGAGATGACCTGGATAAAATGTAATCAATAATAAATGTTGTGAAATCTCAGCGACTGGCTGGTTTGCATCATGTAAGAATGAATATTAAAAAACCTGTTGATTATACATATAAATCCTTGTCCTCTCTTATGATATTAAAAGCGCCATCCATCACACCCTCCACCCAATTGTGAACGGCGGGAGGCTCTACCACCGGAGACTCCTAAGAAAATTCAATCGATATGAAAGAATGACGAAAAATCCTTGACGCAAAAAAGATAATTGTGTTTTACTCCGGCTTTAGGTTATGCCCAAACCTATAAAACGACCCAAACATAAAACAAACCCGAATGACCGTAACAACGGTGATTAAACCTTGACCTAGGTGTGATACCAATAGCAACGGCGTAAAAATGATGAGAGTGAGCTGCCGTAAAAATGAAGCGTCCGCTCCGTAGTTCTCCGAATCTGAAGAATAGCGGTTACTCGTCGGGGACGAGGGACGGAACGGGTGAAGACCGGGTTGGCTTCGTAAAGACGAATATTGTTTGGAGGCAGTTAGAACCTAGGCGAATCTCTCAGCGGTCGGTCCGCGGAAAAAGGAGAACTGGGGGGGGAAGCCATCCCGCCTCGCGCGGGACCGCTTCTCCCTACCAACCCGTTCATCTTAAGCCCGTTACCGGGAGGGCCGACCCTCGGGAATGATCAAATCTAAAAAGTAAAAAGCGGTGTAAAGCTATTTATAAATAAATTCCCGGTTCGATTCCCGTCGCTGACAAGTGGGAGGTCATTGCAGAGAGAGGAACCATCAACAGAAAAGGCTCGATCCCCTCTCAGCCTCAGTTTAGTTCTTGGTCCTTCTAATAATGTCTGGTCCGCAGACCTGAGGCGCCGGGCAGGTGTGTAGGGGCGGATGAGCTCAGAGAGGTAAGGTGGCGCGAGGTCATTTAGAGATTTGAAAACAAATAAGAGGATCTTGAAAATAACTCAAAAATGTATGGGGAGCCAGTGGAGGGATGCCAGAGTAGGAGTTATGTGCTCCCTCTTACGAGTACCAGTCAAGAGGCAAGCAGCGGCATTCTGGACCAGCTGGAATGCCCAAAGATTCCTCTTCTACTAGACGGTCTTACGCGTGTGCAAAGTTTGTATCTGTATGCGACTCTCCTCCAGCGTCATGAAGCAGCCGCTCATCTCCTCCTTAACTGGCACGTCCCCTGTGCCCAGATCGCAAGTCATCACCATGATGGGACCATTGCCGCCTTTCAGGTGGACCTTGATGTTGTCCTGCTCAGCACGCACGCACACACACGCGCACAAAAATAATGTCAAATCTTGGATGGGGTGGAACCATATGATCTTGAAACAAAATTTCAGATTGATTTCAGAAAAAAAAAAAGCGAAAAAATAAGTGTGTCGTCTTGGTTAAAGTCTCCCTTTTGTCAACATCACCTTACTAAATTCATGTTTTAAATGTTCAAAAAAAAGGAAGCTCATAAAATGAGCCCTTCCTGGCGCATGTACCGAAAATCAATCTTGCCAGATCTGCGATTCTTCAAGAAATTCTTGAGAACGTTTACCTGTGTGGGCGTCGGGACTTCCAGCTTGGTTTCCTCCGGCGCTTTGACAACGATGACTGTTTGCTCCTGAAAGGCGTCCACCTGGCTGACGTCCTCGTGCGTGATGTAGGCCACCGTGCCCACGCAAGTTAAGACAAACACGACACCACACTGGCGGACTTTCATTTTGGACCTCCTATTGTTTGCGCGATCATACAAACGAACGAGAAGCAGGGCGACGATTCCCCCGGTTGAGGTGCAAAGGATATGTTGCGTTTTCTTCATTGTCCGTCATGTCGAAGAGTTGCTGTGCGCAGTTTTTGATGAGGATGTCCAGCGTGCTCTCCTCCAGTTTCAGGTTCTCCAGTTCCTTCCGGAACCTCTCCTCAGTCTTCCAGAGAAAGTGGGAAATTGGACACTGGCCTCTAGATGGGCAAGAACAATTGCATTTTGGATGAGAGTCGTTATTCGAATCATCGCACAAGAATTTCAAAACTTATACCTAATTCTAGATGAGCCAGATAAACAGCACAGTGTAAAAATGTTCACTCATTCACTCCCAAAGACGTTTTTAAAAGTCTTTTCAGACTTGGTCTAGAATTGGCTGGTACTGAATGAGTGAAAAGGCTTGACATGCTGATGGGCACACACACGCACTCACATCCACTTGACCCCCCGGGATCTCCTTTGGACGACACTGATGCCCTCCAGCATGGCGACAATGTCGTAGACGTGACACTTGCGGGTCTGCAGCCTGCTGGCCGCCTGGTGGATGTCCAGCCAACTGTCCGGAGACACCAGCAGGAGCTCCAGGAGACGCCGGGTCAGCAATGCCAGTGACACGTCTGGAAATGGGACGGCTAGAGGAAAGCATTGAGAGAGCGAGAGAGAGAGAGAGATGAATTAAAAAAAAAAAACTGCGTTGAGGAGGAATTAAAAGACATTTGAATCGAATCTAAGCAAGCATTAAAAATAAGTTGGAGGTGTTGCGTTTTGGTATGTTGTGAGCAATACAGTCCAATGATGCCCACAGTCATGTTTACATAATTAGTGCACAGTGGGAACGTGGCGAATAGAGGCAATATTTTTGGACGTGGTGTCTCCCGGCGATGATCGAAAGCGGGCACGGGCAGAGCGGCCTGCAGGTCACTGGACAAACTTTTGGACACACGCACCGTTTCTGCATGGCGTCTTTGTCTGAAGATCCTTTTGAGATTGAAGATCCACACTGCAGATAACGACAACAATTTGAATTTTAAATCAGAATAAGGGACAAATGCCCCAAAAAGTTGCGCAAGAGGTTTGAGTGATGCAACGGCCCGAAGAATGTCATAAGAGTTGTGAAAAAGTAGACGCTTACCTTGATGTCGTCACCTTTGGAGGAACGTGCTGAGTTTCACTCGGAACCTGAAAGCACGAAGGGTTGATGAAGTCCAAATATCCAGTGGCCCACATGAAATAAGACTCAACTTTTTTTTCGGTTCTGGTTCAATTACGATCACTAAAATTATTTCTATTTTCTAAATGGCAGAATGAGCGAAGGATTTTTTTTGGGACAACTTTTCTTGACTATCTGCCACGTCAGAAATGTACATGCATGTCAGCGTTTCTCAACCTTTATAAGGCAAAGCACATATTTCACACCGGGGGAAAAAAAAAATATCTCACGGGTCATCATTTAGCAAAAGGAGTCACAAAAAGTGGATCTACGGGTTCATTATGTACCTTCTGTCATTGAGTGAAAGAGCATTTGATTTTTCTGCCTGTGAAGAGCCATTGTTGGGATACATCAATCTTTTCAAAGACATTCAAATACCGTATTGGCCTGAATATAAGACGACCCCCTCTTTTTCAAGACTCAAGTTTGAAAAAAGACTTTTTGAACAGCAAATTAATTTTTATACAGAAAATAAGTACAGTACATTTGAAACAATTTATTATAAGAATATATTTGAGAGAAAAAGCATTTTATTTTGCCTCATTCAAATCTTAATATCTGAACATTTAAATATGTAAACTAAAGTGCAATCACATTCGTAAATGAATGGCTTCTGGTTTTTGAAATGTAAATGACATCATAACTTCTCCTCAGCTGCCGGTTAACATGGCCAATCTTCGACTCACTTTTCTCCAGTTTGTCACTACGTTTCTCCATTTTCTGTTATCTCTTCTATTATTTTCTTCTCTTTTCCTTCTTACTGCTATTTTTTATTGTCTTCTTCGTGCTACTGCTATTTTTATTTTTATTCTTCGTAACAGGGGTTCACTTTGGCCTGGGGAGTCAAGTTCAGCATTCGCTTCAATGATATCTGGCGCCATCTACCGTCGTGAATGGGTATAATGTCTAGACCCCGAATATAAGACGACCCCCACTTTTTTAGTCTTATTTCAATGCAAAAAAACACCGTCTTATATTAGGGCCAATACGGTAATTGCCATTGGCTAACTAACTCCCTGCAAGCGCATGACTTGGGCCAACTATTTTTTGGCATTACTTCAACAAGCTTCTCACAAAGGATGTTGGCCCTCATTTAAAGCTGGCAGGCTTGTTAACACCAATGACTGCGGTGTGTCAATTTGAAATGGAGAAGATTTACAGGGTTTTTCAAAGGTCCGACGCAACCCTTTTTTTTTTTGTGCGTTCTTTGTTTAGTGGTGCGCTTGCTGTGATGTTTTTCGAACGTACGATCAGTGAAGGTCGTGAAACAATGCCTAATTGGTAGTTCAACCTGCTGAATAGGTTGTGGAGAAGGAGGTCCCACAGGAGCGCCACTTCCATCTTCCTCCATATCTTCTTCCTCCTCCTCCTCTTCATCCTCACCAGCACCGACGGTGCCCCACTGGTCATCCTCCTCCGATGACTCGGCCCCCCAGGGGCTGATGCCCCCGAGAGGTCCGTCCAGGTACGGGGGCATGATGGGAATGGCGTCGCTGTTGACGCCGCTGTCCGTAATGTCCTCCGGCAGGAAGTGCTCCTCGCAGATCAACTGCTGCTCTGCCGCTTCCTGGTTGTCCGTCTCTCGCAACGCAGCCAGCCATACCTAAACACCATCATCATCATTTTGAGTAAGGCTTGAACACACTGGTGTCAAACACCAGGCCCGTGGGCCACATCCGGCCTGCCACATCATTTCCCATGGCCTGTGACAGCTTGCCACAATGTCTGCATATTTGAAGCTGTATAATGATGAGGAATGAATTAAGTTATATCAAAAGACAAGCATCTGTGTTTGAAAAATAATAGAAGTAAATCTTACATATCCCTCCCTGCCTCACTACGGCAAATTATCTAACGCGAAATTTGATTAGATTTATTGAAAGTCCAACCAGCTGGTTGTGAGGCGATGTTTTGTTGTGTTTAGCAACGTGAATCTATTGTCTATTGCAGGGATGAGAGTGGCTCATGATGAAAAAAGCGGAAAGGAAAGGGGCGTGGCCGAGACGGGGCGGCACGCGGGGCGGGGCCACTTACAAAAGTGGAAAACTTTTGTTAAAGTTGAAACTTTAACAGAAAAAAATCCCAAGATTGTTCACTATTCTTTGAAGTGAAATTTGTGCAATTTTGCTTATGCATTCCTGGTGAGCACCAACGTGTAACTTCAAATTTGCTGCTCAAAATCAAAACTAAACAAGGAAACACATTCCCTGCCATATTTATGATTTGTTCATTACTTGTATTCATAAAGTGTTGTGTAAATGTGATAAAAAGCTGTTGATTCTTACCTCATACAGTGATAGTGAAGTCCCACACTGTTTACTATATATGGGTTATGAATGTATTTTATTATATAAAGTCTATTTACAGTAAATACAACAATATACAGTTTCACGAGGTAGAATACTTTATTTTCTCTTCATTTTAAGCTTTTTAGCAAGCGCTAAAAGCTTACTGGTCCTCTCTGTCTTTTTCCATTCTCTTTTTAGCCAACTCCTCGTTTTTACACATGCTCCAGGCTGTCGAAAAGCGCCTGAGATCGAGTAGTTACTTTTCAGAAGAAATGTCTGTTTTCGGTGTTTCACCGAGGTTGCGTGACTCTGTAAAGCTTTCCATCCTCTCGATCCGTACAGAATGACATCGTCACACACTGTACACAGAGCTTTACCGGCGACATCGAGCTTTTTCACGAAATACGACACAAGCACAATGGTTCCTCTTGACTGTTTCCGACTGGGGACACCGTCAGCTTTCTACCCAACCAGTCCCATCGAAACGTGTTTTTCTGACGCACTTTAACTTCGTCACGATAACACTCGGCATTCGCGAGAAAGGGGTTTAGGAAGGCGAACACGGATTGGTTGTGATTTGCATTTACCGATATAGCGACCAATTACAACAAGTAAGACAGTGGTTTTTAGCCCATATAGGAAGTAACGACAAACTAACGCTTCGCGATAAAAAACGGGATTCAAAATGGATGCTTGCAAACGTTACTTGTAAACATTACGAGCCCCGAATCTGGCGAAGACAAGTCCGGACCCCCCCACCCTCCGCCCCCCAGATTTTTTTTACGGATTTGAAACAATTTAAAATGTCCATTTTGACTGGAAAAAAAGCGGAATTCCGCCAAAAAGCGGAAAAATATCATCCCTGCTATTGACAGCTGCATTCAAAAACGTTTCCATCTTGCAATGAGACCTGTGCGAAGTCATTTGAAAATAGCGCCTTTGCATGAGACTCACTTAACTTTCTCAATGTCTGGGAAATGGGCTCACGCGTTTGCAGTAGACTTCTATGTTGTGAATATGAAGATGAGCATCAAACGGATCAAAGAGAAAAAAAAACACATTTTCCAGCAAAAATATTTTCAATTCAGGTACTTGTACTTTTACTTGAGTATCGCTTTCAGCCAATTTATACAAGATTGCAAGCTTGTGCAACCTTGTTGACTGTTACGATCTCAAAAAAGTTGCAAACGATCGACCACCTTTAGCAAACATGCTAACAAAAACAAATCCAAGGCGAAGAGGCGACATGCTCACGTGAGCATCGCAGAGGGAGTAAAGGGAGAAGAAACGTGAATGTGACTACAATGGCAAAGTATTTGGGGTGTGTTTGTTTGGGTGGTGGTCACGCGTGTGTGGCTATACCTTGACCCGCGCCAGGTCTTTGGGGAACGGGAAGAATCTCTTCGGAGGTCGGCTCAACACGCCCCGGTGACCGTTGAGCAGGCGGTTCGGACATCCGGAAACAACACACTTGACCATACTGAGCGCCCCGAAAGCGGCCGAGGTCCGCCGGAGTGTAAAATAAAACCTCCCTTTGAGTCGTTAGCCTTTCCACGCTCTTTTCTTCAATCGGAAGAGGCGTGTCGTTGACACGGAAGTAGAAGCAGGGACATTTTTCTTCTATTTATTTTAGCGCTCTCTACAGGTAAGGAGTACCAATAACGAAATAAATTTAATACGCAATCATGAAAACGTTAAAGGAGTTTAAAACAATGATTTCAATATGTATGTAATTATTTCTACATCTATTTGAACATTTAATTATTGCAAATTGTAGTTTTCTTTCCCATAATTCATTAAACATTTAATTATTCCTTTGAATGTGTTCATCTGTCATCATGTTTTCATACAGTACTTATTGAAGTCCAAAGAGGCCAAAAATAAAAGAATAATTGATTTATGAAATATTAATTAAATGTGTCATGAATTATATATGTAAGTATTTATTCTATTTCGATGTTTTTAAAAAATATTTCAAGATGCTTTCAGTATTTAAACATTTGGCTCTCGGCTTCTTTTTCAGTCACACAAAAGTCTAACACATAAATATGCATTGATATCAAATTTGAAATTATAACCCAAGTTATTCTTGTGAAATAAACGATCTAATTGAATGTGATTTGTGTGAACCACCTTTTCAACTAAGAGGTGACAATCAAAATTGCAACACAAGATTTATTCCGAAGAGCAAAAGATGCCAAACACCATCATGATTAAAAAAAAAAAAAAAAAACCTTGAAATGAACATAGCATGTATGAACTCATGAGCTCGACACGCAGCAGAAAAGATCAAAGGAGCTCATGCCATGTGCATAAAAAGTCACCAAATCCTCCAAGTGACAATAATACAACAACAAAACAGGAGCATTGCATTCAATTAAAAAAATATTTTGAATGCACTCCCGCAAAGAAAATCAGCATTACACAAATATTTATAATATGCATTTCTTCATGGTCGATAGTTTGTACTGTACATGTGATGAACATCTAGTCTGGCATCTGTCTTTGAATTGTGCTTTCATCTCCCGGTCTTGAAGAACTTGAATGAGTCAACACATGCTGCAGCTCGTCAGTGGGAAGCTGAAGGCCGCACCGTCACGTGACCTCACTCGCTCAAGCCTGGACAACAAAATCCGTCTTTTTTTGTTTTTTTGTTGTCAGTTTGCTGCTTGGTGTCCTCTTCAAGGCTGATTATCAGACAGCCACTAGTTTGAAAAACCGCTTGAGCGTTTCTTCCATCTCTGTGACATCCGGCTTAGGGTCCATGTACTCGTATGCTCTTTCTCTTCACAAGTAAGACAACTCAGTGTGCTAGTAAAATGCCTGTGTGACATCTCTGCACGCGAGGGGGATCGTTTTGGATTACTAGACCAACTATATGTTACTGTGATGCAAAACCGCGAGTGGGCATTTTGGTGTTACTCATAGAGTCCAGGAGGCTACTGGTGCATGCCCACTACTTGGGCCAAGTAGTTTACTTGCTAAGGTTAAATTGGATACGAGTAAGCCAATGGTGGCACTCGTAATGGAGAAAATATTAGTCAGCCACAAGTGCTCTACTAGTGTTTTGACTTGACTTACTAGAGAGAACAAAGAGCATACTAGTGCATGGACCTGAAGCTGGATATGAAAATATTGGTCAAATAGCTTTTCAATCCCTAGTAGGTCATAACACAAAATCACACACTCCCGCTGAAGATTGACACAGGAGCCGCAACTTCGTAGTTTTCCTTTTCCACCACTGAAGAAACAAGATTTCATCTTTTACACACGTTAAAATAATCTTAACAATATTCTCTGAAATCCTCGGGATTCCTTGCAAAATGACATAACAATGCAAAATACAGTCAAAAGTGTATGAAAAACGAGGTGGTGGTTGTTATATAAAAAAAGTACATTTGCTGTCTTTGAACGCTTAATTTCATTTGAAATACAGTACAGCGATGCCTTGAGATACAAGTGGACCGACTTTTGCATTTTTTTGAGGTACGAGCCAGCATTCAGCAATAAATGCCTAAACTGTGGAGCAAGACATGTAGAAAGACAAAATAACACACAGTCAGATTCTTTATCATCTGCATAGAATGACTAATTCAGCACCACACTGATGAGCTGAGAAGTCTCACTGAGCACTACAGTGAAACTCCTCTAGAACGAAACCTACATGGGCGAAAATACCCCCTAATGTGAAAAAATCTTCATGCATTAACACCATTCCCATTCTCCTGCCCCCCATACGACGAAAAAAAAAAACCCTGTTGCGTTATACGAAATCATTTTCTCTGCTCCTGCCTCGCGAAGACATTCACTACAATGAAGTCTAATCCAAAAGAGACCTTTACTGCTTCGTTCGGAAACGGCAACAGCAACCACCACACTGGTTTACATAGTGAACGTTGTTTATTTCGGTCACAGCTGCCAGTTTCCTGAACGCAACATACTCATAGCTGCTCTGCCATTGTCTTACCGAGCATCCGATTAGATACAGTTGAGAGTTACCAACAAGGCGTCTTTTACAGGGACTTAATAAGTGTCCTACAACTACAAGAACTACAATAAAACCCACCATAATAAAAGATTAATTTGTCACCAGTTGTTTACAACAAAGAGTGTCGCTAAGATGATTAGGAGAAGTCTCCAGCTCAACTCAGAACAGAATGCGAATTGAAAAAACACTAAAAGGTCGGTGATTGGCTCATTTCGATGTCAATCAAACTGGCACACAGGCTCAGACAGATCATCCAATCTGATGCAGAAAAGCCTGCCATCCAGTCCCAGAGACGCCAAAGCGTTCGTGGGCGGGACAAAAACCAGCTTGTATCCAATGACTCGTCTCCGTTCAACGCTTTGGGACAACCTATCATGAACTCTCGAGATGCTCAGCGTCCGGGCAATAGACGCTCTGCGGACGCTCGGCGTCCACCGTTTAAAGCACAGCGTAGCTGCGGTAATGAATGAGAAGGGAGTCGCGTCGTAACCAGTAAGAAGAAGCTGATTCGGAACAAAAGTTGAGCACGTTGTAGCGCATATTTAGTCAATGACATGTACACACAATGAAATTTACATTCATATGTTTGATCACTTATTCTTTGACGTTTTAGGGGAAGCCGAGCTTCCCTTGAAGTCCGAGAGCAATCGCCACTGTTGTAGAGGAGTTTCACTGTATATCCATTGGTCTGAGAGTGCCCCCATGTGGCCAATTCGGACACAGCAGAAGGAGCGGCATTTAATAGATGCAGCGTGTCAAAAAGTGTTTAAATGTTCTCAATTGTATTTACTCGTGTCAATACTGTACGGAAATTTTCCAAAGTACAATGTTATGGACTGCTATTGTCTTGTTGAAAATTCACATGACAACAATCTTTGTTGTTTTTGGAGGAGGAGTATGGAAGAGATTCATGGTATTCGTTTTAATGACAAAAAAAAAGATTTGAGTTGGATTGTTTCGAGTTGGCCCAGTGGATGACTGGTTACTGCGTCGGCCTCACAGTGCAGAGGTGCAGGATTCGATCCTGGCTCTGACCTTCATGTGTGGAGTTTGCATGTTTTCCCCCTCCCGGCCTGTGTGGGTTTTCTCCGGGTAATCCGGTTTTCTCCCACATTCCAATAACATGCATAGCAAGCTGATTGAACACTCAAAATTGTCCCTAGATGCGAGTGTGAGTGCGGATGGTTGTTCGTCTGTGTGCCCTGCGATTGGCTGGCAACCGGTTCAGGGTGTCCCCCACCTACTGCCTGAAGATGGCTGGAATAGGCCCCAGCACGCCCCGCGACCTTTGTGAGGATAAGCGGATCAGAAAATGGATGGATGGGTGTTTCGAGTACTGAGTGTGGTCCAGGAACAAATCAAACTTGCATCTCAAGACACCACTGTAGTCGTTCGCTCGCGTAGGGACTGCGTGAATAATTCCGACCACCAGCCAATTCCACTAGCACATATCAATCCGACGTCCGCTTTTGGATGGACAAGTCAGCACTGTTTTTTTTTCTTCTTTTTTCTTTTTTTTTTGCTTGGCGTGTTCAGACGGGCCCCAATAAAGTGCATGCATGTCAAGAAAAAGTCTGCTGAGTGGACGATGAGTGCAAATGTACAACGATGTGTGTGTGTGTGTGTGTGTGTGTGTGTGTGTGTGTGTGTGTGTGTGTGTGTGTGTGTGTGAGAGAGAGAGACCCTGTAAGTCCAGCCAGCTGCCTCCAGCTCCCACGTCCCCCATCGACACGCATACGCAACACATCAAAAGATGGAGTAAAAGAAAAAAGGCGGCGCTGTGTGTTTGTAGTAAAAGTGGATACAAAACTGGTAAAAACATCAGTGATCAATGGTTGTTGAATTCATAGGAAATTGCATATACCTAAACTTTTTTTTTTATTAATATAGATTGCATCTGAATAAATCATGCCAATATTGCTGTCCTACCAGCTCGTCCAGGCGGCTCAAGAACCAATCAATCGATCAATAGATCAATCAACCAGTGGCAGATTGTCTCCTACACTAGTTCACTTGGATATTTCCGTGTGATGGTGTTTGAACTCTCCCCCTCTTGCTTTGATTGCGCTTCACGTTGACCATCTACGAATCAATCAATCATTCAATCAATAGATAAATACATTTGCAGCTGTATGTCACATTATATCAGGTCGTATGAAAATGTACAAAAGTCGGATGTTGGATCCAAAACAAGCGAGGCGATTAAAAATAAATAAATACATAAATAAAAAGTGGTGACAGCGTGAACGTGACGGCAGCAGCAAAATAAACCTATAAATTAAAAAAAAAAAAAATAACCTGCTTTGTTTGTTTGCTTGCTTGTGTTGTTGTGGGCGGGGCTACACGTGGATGCCCTGCACGGCCTGTCGGATGTTCTCCAGCAGCGCCTTGTTCTCCGGACTCTGGTACTGGTCCTGGTGGGTGTACATGTCCGTCAGAGTGCTCACGTACGTGTCAAAGTTCTGCTCGTTCATCGGCTCCTGGCGGGAGAGCAGAAATGTTGCCATCACTGAACCCAGACTGAGAAGGTTGGGAAACGCAGCTTCCCACATGGTTAACAAGAAAAAACATGCATGGCAGGTTAATGGAACACTCTCAATCAGGGGTGCCCACCTTTTTTGATCAAAGATCTACTTTTCGATCAACCAACTTCCCGCGATCGACCCATTACTGCATACGCATGCACTTACACACGCATGCCCTGATGAGCCATAACGGTCCGTAAGATGAATGAAACAGAAACACACAGACACAAAAATGTTTGTTTTTTTTTCTCCCCTCAACACCCCTCGCGATTGACTTGGGACCAGTCCGCAAGCTACCGGTCGATCGCAATCGACGTATTGGGCACCCCTACTCTAAATTGTCCCTATGTGTGAGTGTGAGTACGGATGGTTGTTCGTCTCTGTGTGCCCTGCGATTGGCTGGCAACCGGTTCAGGGTGTCCCCCGCCCACTGCCCGATAACAGTTGGGATAAGCTCCAGCAACCCCCCGCGACCCTTGTGAGGATAAAGCGAATCGGAAAATGGATGGCTGCGCCCTCTACAGGGGGAGAAATCGAGTAACACGCCCGACAGACGCCACTGCGTCAACAAACCACGGCCGCCAGTTTAAGCCGGGGGGATGGTTTACAGGCGCAATTTCATTTAATTTGTGCAATCAGATGATCCAATTAGTCCCCGTCGTCCGTAACACATCAGAACGCACAGCTAAATGTGACGAGATGGCTGACGCAGTGAAGGAACTTTCAAACTCCCGAAATGAAGGTGTTGGGCAACGCAGCACAGGATGAAGGCACACACGCACGCACGCACAGGAGACGGGGATTGGTCGGGTTGGCGTGGATACCATGTGCGGCAGCTGGATGTTGGCCAGGCTGTTGATGAGCGAATGGCTGAGGTTGGCCAGCTCGTGCAGCAGCGAATCGTTCTGTTGCTCCATCGCTTTGTTCTCCTCCTCCATGGACCTCAGGCTGGTCTCCATCGTGGTGATCTAGCGCAGGGACACAATTTCATCTCAAGTGGGCCTCGCCACAAGATTGCTGCCTTAACCCTTTCATGCACCAATAATGATAACCTGTAACATGACAACCTGTCCACTGTCGTAACCGCTGTCCCTGAAAGGGTTAAGAAGCTACCGATAGGGACTTTTCCAACGTTTTCAGTGCAAATAATTCCAAGTACATTCTGAATATATTGACATGCAGTGATTTTCATCTCGCTGTTAATTATCCACGCAATCTGAAATGTCACAGAACAGAGCTCTCAATCAGTCAACCAATCAATCTGTCATTCGATTGGTCAGTTGACAAATGCACATTTTCGTCCCAATACTTTTGCCCTTAAAGCGTTCAGTGAATAACACTGAAGTGAAACACGTCTTACTTGCGTCCTCAGCTTAATCATATCCGACTCCACTTGATTGTTGGACTCGTTGATATCTTTGATTTCTTCATCCAGCTGTTTGATTTCCTCGTCGTTTTCGATGCCTGAACAAGAAAAGCAAACAAGCACCACAATCCTGTTCATTTTTTGCTGGCATTTGCTTTTTGCCGCTGGACTGTCACCTTTGCTGGCTCTCTGCTTGATTGTCAGCATCTCCGCGCCGCTCATCCTGGCCTTCTTCATGGCCGAGGAGGCCCGGGGACAACCGGAGAGACTGGAGCAAAACACAGGCATCATTTCCGCCGGTTGCCGCGGTGACGGGATGCAAACGCTCCACACACCGGGGATGGCTCACCTCCGGTGGGTCAGGAAGCTTCCGCTGACGTGGCCCGAGCCGTCGCAGCCCGGCGTGGGACACGTCATGCCGTCTGTCTTGCCCGACTTCCAGGCCAACTGGGTGCCGTTCACGTAGCTGTCCTTCTGCCGTTTGGCCGCTAGGGGGCAGCCTGATGCACTGCGGTGGGAGGCATACTTGCCTGTCACGTGACCTTGCCCGTCACAGCCTGGCACTGGACACCTGAGATGGGAACACACACGTCGGCCTCATACGCAGATTCCCCTTTTTGAAGAACACACACTTAGCGGTGCACCGAGTAGGTTGATTGACACCAAAGTCTCAGGGGGATAGCCAGATCGACTTCATATTTGCTCTGAATAGGGTTTAGGCCAAGGGTGTCAAAGCCATTTTCGCCGCCAGCCACATTTTAGTTACCATTTCCCTTTTTTTTACCATTATGACTGAAATCATATGAAGATGTCAAGAATAACAGTTTATTCAACAATTGTTTAAGTTACTGTAATGAGGTGTTTGGCAGCAAGAAAATGTTTACAATGTCTCTCTTATTTATTACATTCAAAAATTTGAAATTTTGGTACATATTTTAGCAAGCATCATGGAAGTTGCCATGTTTGCTTTGCTTTTGCGGCCCACATAAAATGATGCGGCGGGCCAGATTTGGCCCCCCGGCCTTGACTTTGACACCTATGGTTTAGGCCTTCTTGATGTTGCAACATGAAATTTGTGAATTTTTGCGAGAAGCTGTTGCCATGGCAATGCGCCGTTCGCCAAGAGAACACTGCTTTTGAGGGGTTAAACATGCACAAAAGCTCATGAAACTGTAAACACATCAGGCCTGGCAACAATATAATTTTTTTAATTAGGTTATTGTGCAATTTCGGAAAAAATAAAAAATTATATATACTGTGTGTGTGTATATATATATGCACGTACACTATAGGTAAGATCGGGCCGCCCGAATTTCGGGTCGGGTCGGGCCTAAAAATGTCAATCATTGCTTCGGGTTCGGGTCGAGCTTCTCTCTCGCTGACTTTTTTTTTTTTTCGAGGCCGTGAATAGTTTTGGCCACGAGAGACCGTGGTTCGCAAAAAAAAACAGAAGCGGCGACATCACAACACGTACTGTACTAAACTCTCGCAATGACAATTCAAAAAACTCCTTCCTATCTTTATGATCCAGCCGTCATTGTTCCTTTTGGTCTCGCTGCTTCTCTCTTCAAGTGCCGCACTCGATTTTTAAGGACGTACTGCTGCTGTGGTGAATGGCTCAATTTTCAACCCGTCAAAATGACGGACGGCCTTAAATTTTCCCCGTCCACTCTTAAAAAAAAAATCCGTCAATGATGGAAAATTGTCCGCTAATGTAACCTCTTCAGGAACAGAAATATAAAATATGTAAATGTTTATCCAGTCTTGTTTAACTTAGATTTCGTTCCAAAAGACAGGCTTTGTTATCAGAAATCACCCCTCCTCCTCACAAATAAAATATGAAATCTCGGGTTTGCTTCGGGCTCGGGCCTGCAAATCAAGTTAAGTGATCGGGCTCATGCACGCTTTGTGGTTTCCGTTCGCGCCGAAATTTCGAAATCTCCGAGATATAGTGTGGCCATGAGAATGCGAGGCGAGGGTATGACTTGTGGCGACGCCACTCGAGCTACTCCGCTGCTCCCTGCTGTGCGTGCGTCAGCGCGAACATGTACGGAAGCGCGTCTTTTGATTTCAACCAATAAGCGCCGACGCAACAACGTCACACACCAACGTCACACCCAACAACAGCTAAACTAAGCTAGCGGAGACGACACTCGAAGTCGCACGGACACGTTTTTCTGCCAATCTGTGTGTTTCCCTTTTTGTCCAAATATATTTTTTACGACAACTGTCTTGTCCACGGTGTCTTTGATTCGTTCCACTGGGGTTTAGCAAATGTGTTGATAAAGAGACGAAAATCTCTACTCTTACTAGTGTTAGTGTCTCAACATGGCTACGCTCGTGAAAGCAAAACAACGAACTCAAACGCGTCTTCGTTCAATGTTGTCAACTAATATCCGGATTCATTTTAGGCAAATTTTACTCAATTCTCCGGAGAGATTTTCATAAAAATGTGAAAACCCCGGAATTCCGGGAAAATCCGCAGGACTTTCATCTCTGAACAACGCCCAATGCAAATTTTCACTGAAGAAGTGATCTTGGTGACACGTGCAACAGTACATGTCACCAAGATCACCAAAATTTGGAGGATAACAGATTTCAATAAGACCTACCAAAAGTTGCAGACATATTTGACAGCCCAAGACCAAGAAAAATTCAACAGGAAATCCGACATTTTTAATTTACTTTCACATTTTGCCTCATTTGAGACCATTTATAGGGCTCATACTTTATCAAATTAGTTTTTAATTTGATGTTCTTCATTTTCCAAAAATTCGCGATGCCAACGAGACCGGAGCTGTGAGGGACGTCTTTGGCTGCTCGCAGCTCTAGTTGAGTTTGTCTTTTTAAATTGAATTATTTGACCAAATGGAAAACATATTGTAATATCTGTTTCTTGTCTTTGTGTGACGTCATAGAGAGGGGAGGAGCCAGGTTGGGCAAATATTGGCTCCGGCAGTTAGTCGTGAGTGTGGAGCGCATGGGCGTGAGTTGTGGCTAACAGCAACTCCTATGAATGTGTGTGTTATTGCTCTTTTGTTTATTAAAAAAAACGACAGATTACATCAGCGACTGTGTGCATCCTTCTTTCCGCATTGAAGGACATTACAATATTAATTGATTCATACTCACTAATATCAACCAAATTGCACATGATTGATGTTAGTCCAAAAGGTTCTATGATGGCGATTGGTTGAGAATGAAGAAGCTTACTTGATGGGCTCCTGCTCGTCTTTGTCTTCTTTGCTGTGGAGGATTTTGATGCCGCTCTTCTTGGCGCGAGGACAACCGGAGAGGCTGAAGGGTGGAAGAGGAAGCGTTGGCGATCCTGCCAAGGCGTTCATGGTGCAACTTGCGTTACCTCCTGTGAGAAGCGTAGTTTCCCGTGATGTGTCCCGATCCGTCACAACCGGGTGTGGGACACCTGAGGGACACGACACTTTGTGGTTATCGTCTCCGGTGGCACGCAATCGCTGAGCGAAAGACCCCTATGATGGATGGACTGCATTTTTCAGTTTTTGTGGAGGACCAGCAAAATGTGTGACTGGACTTTGCTGGAAATTGAGTTGGGACTCCAACAATTGCCACAACAATTTGGCACTGTTTGAAAGTCGGTTAATTGAGACTTATGATGAACAAAAATGCAATGAAGGGACGTACATCAGAGTAATGTATTTTCCCCGTTTGAATTGACAAAAAAAAAAAAATGATATGAATGAATTAACAGACGTTTTAATAAAGAGATGTTTTTTTTTTTGAAAGTGTATTATTTACAACCAATACCATAATTATTTAATGAGATAAGGGACAGATGCACAATACATTTGAATGACGCAATTTGAGGAACACAGTCTTAGCTGAATCAAGCATTTGGTGGGCCGGATAAAAGAAGGGCGCGGGTCGTATGTGACCCCCAGATCCGAGTTTGCCCGCCCTCCCTCAGATGCTCACCTGAGCTCTTGCGCGTTGGAGGCCATCATTCCTCTGAGGTTCTTGTCGGCCAGCTGGCAACTGGACAGCCTGCAGTGAGACGAGCACACGAGCGTCACCTCCAAACAAACTCCAAGCACCCCTGTCATGGGATTTGCGTTCTTACGTGAGGCTCTCCTTTTTGGGCTCCTTGCAGGGCGAGTACTTGTGGTGTTTGGGGCTGGGCACGGCGCTGGCCTCGGCCGGGTAGTGCTGTTCGTCCAGCAGCTCGTGGAAGGCGTCCAGCTCATCGCCCTAGTGGGACGACCGCAAACAAAACCAGGAGGGGGAGGGAGCGAGACCAATGACATGGATGCCCTTTTTGCACTGTTAATGTACTAATGAAATAAATAAAATAAAATGGTGCCCTGCGATTGGCTGGCAACCGGTTCAGGGTGTCCCCCGCCTACTGCCCGAAGACGGCTGGGATAGGCTCCAGCATCCCGCGACCCTTATGAGGATAAACGGATCGGAAAACGGAAGGATGGATGGGTGCCAGTGGGTACTAGTTAGCCCCAAGGATAACATGAGTAGCCCACGGCTCTGTTCTAAAAATAGCTCATCGCGACATTTTTGCTCATGTGATCAGAATTTCAGATTAGCTTGGGGCCTCCATCCGTCCATCTCACTTGGTTTTCGTGGATGAAGAAAGGACGTGAAAACCGCGGTGTCATCTGCTGCGTTCACCTCCTTGTGCTGGTGCTCGTCCACGCGTTTGATCTTGGTGTAGTCCAGCGGGAGGTCCCAGCAGTCGGCCTGGCTGAGCTGGTAGCGGTGGCTGTTGAGGAGGGCCTGGCGCTGGGGGGACATGGGCTGCAGCGGCGTCAGCACCGTGCCGCTGCCCTCCGGCCCGCCCGGTTGCCCGCCAGCGTCCAAGCCACCATCGCCGTCTTCCTCGTCCAGGTCACCCGCTGTGCTCTGATGCAAACACACGAGGGAAAGGAGCAGATAATCGGCGCGCGTGGAGACAAATAATGGACTGGTCGCCAGTCTGGTGCTGTGACCACTCACATTCACAGCTATGGACAATTTAGAGACGTGTTTGAAGATAACATACTGTAGCATGTCATTTGTCGTCTCCATGTTACCAAAGGCAGCGGTTCGGGTCTAATATGCAAATGAGCTGGCTGTGGCCCCACCCCCTCTACCTGCATCATCATGCCGTGCGTTTTTCCTCCCATGGCGTGCGGGAGCTCTCGACACCTGGTGGAAAGGTTGAGGATGGCGGTGGCAGCCATGTGCGCCGCCTCCATGTCATGCGTGTAGTCGAAGCTGCTTTTGCTGCAGGTGCTGCTGGCGCTGCTGCCGCCGCCGCCGCCGCCGCCGCCCAGGTCGCCGGCCGGGTCGCCAGCGCCGCCCCCGCCGCAGCTCAGGCTGCTGCTGCTGCTGCTGCTGCTGGGAGCGTAGCTGCTGGTGGTGCTGCTGGCCGGGCTTGACGTCTTGCTGTAACGCTTGGCTACATGCGACAAAGATGAGGACACGGAAGGGCGAAAGATTTGTCAGAAGAAAATGTCTTGAATGATTAAAAATCATTGGCATATTTTAAATCAGTCGTATTTTTTTCGAGAAAAAAAATCATAAAATAAATAATGTATATATTTCTGAGAAAGAAGTCGCAACATTAGGCGCATTTCTTACTCTCCTCAGTAATTTCATGTAAATACACGTTGAATAATACATGACAGCCAAACGCGGAGCATTCATCACTATTCAAGTGATTTTTAGCATGAGGACCACGAAGCCTCCGCAGCGACAAAAAAGAAGAGAGGCGGCGTGTCGTGAGAGGTGATGGCGAACATCGTGACGGAGCACCGACGCCTAACTGTGAATCACGGAATTGCCGATGATGGCGGGCAGCCAAATAGCAAAGCGGGCTCGCCTCCGTTATCTCAATCCCGCTTCATGCTCGCTCCGTCTGCACCTCCGCCATCCATCCATTCTGCGACAAGGAGGCGCTTGAAAGCGGGCCGTGGTTGCAGACTTTCCAAAGAGAAGCGGCATTTTAGGGTCGGAGGCAATTATTAACTGGTGATGCAAACAAAGACGCTCTAGTTTTTCTACAGTTGATGAATGGCAATTCATGCCAGACTCCAAAGTGTACCACAGTGCCGCAGTGCTTTAGAGCGCCTCATTGTTGGCAGTGAGTACGCGCACGGCACGGGGAGGAAGGCTGAAGTGCAGGGGCGGAGGAATTGTTACTTTTTTTAAAAAGTCCAACTTGATAACTAGCTCGTGGACCGGGTCTACAGGCTGGCGTGGCGGCCTTAGAGCGCCTCGTTGTCAGCCATAGGCGAGCGCATGTTACAAAAAGAAGGTGCAAGGGCGGCCCTTGAGATGATTTCATGTAGCTCACCATCAAATGCCTTGGGGGAGGTATCCCGGCTGTGGTGGGATTTGCCGAGCGCGCCCCTCTTGCCGTAGCCGCCCCCGTGCTGGCCGTCGTACCCGCTGTAGTCGTAGCTGGTCTTGGAGTACTTCTCCAGCTCCTTGGCAAGGTTGGAGCGCGGCGTGCTGGTGGGCACATTGTTCTTGTAGCCATACTGAGGAATCTCCAGCTGCTTCACGAAGCACATGGGCCTGACAAGACAGCAGACGCTTTGCATTTAGCCGAGCCCATGTTGAGCTCAGCAGAACCTCGGTTTTCGTTTGCCCCGGTTTTCCTACAACTCGTTTTTTTTCGGCAGTTTTCTGTCATCAAGTTTTCTTCACCCGTTTTTCAAACATCCACTAGTTCAAAGAAAAATGTCAATGTATTTCTCTAAATCGATGCACGTTCACCAGAAGGATTTTGAAAATTGTGTAAAAATCTTTCAAGGAAGCGGGTGGTACCTGAGGACGCGGTCGGACGTCTGATTGGACTTGCTGCTGCCGCTGTCCATCACGTGACTCTTCTCATGCACCTTCGCCATCTTCTCAGCCGCCGCGATGGGACAACCCGACAGACTTGGGAGTGGGAAAGGGGTGGGTGGGAGGGTTCACATGGTTAGTTAGCGAACACCCACACACATATGTACAGTTGATGGGAAGGTTAACTGAAGGGAACATGAAGTCCACGTGACATGCGCTGTATCTCCATTTTTGCAGGTGCCTGCCCAAACAATCAGTGTGAAATTAACCCCTTCAGGCACAGCGGTTACAAAAGTGGACAGCTATTCAAATGTTTCTTTCTCTTATATTCATTAATCTTAGTGTCACAGTTGTGCATCAACCACTACAATGGACCCTCATGTGTGTTGCCATCCACTGCCATAATTTTTTTTTTCATCCCTAAAGACCGGGGGTCGGCAACACGCGGCTGTTTAGCGACATCTAGTGGCTCCCTGGAGCTTTATAAAAAATGTTTGAAAATGGAAAAAGATTTTGATAGTAAGCTAATATAGCTCAAATAGATATAAGGGGTGTTCACACAGCAACATTTGCTCCGTACTGCGCAGGCGCTGCGCCAGTGGAGCGGTCACGCGTGCAAATTTGCTCCGGCTAGCCCCGGAAAACAGTTTACACCGGAGCAAATTTAATCCACCTCAGGGAGGTGGTTTAAAAATTTCCACTGGAGCAAATGCTCGTTTAAAGAGCAGCACCGATGTAAATTTGCAAGTGTGAACTCTCCAATTTGCTCTGCAAATGCTCGTTTGCGAGGGGGGAGTAGCCTGGCTAGGCATGAGAAGAGTTGATTAGTACGGCGAGAGTGCGTCGCTTTCGTGCTCTGTCGGACTTCAGTCATGTGATTGTTTAATAACAACGCAAGACAGAGCTGGTAACATCAGCAAGCACCTCTTGGGTTATACCATCTCAACTACAACGGGGGGGAAATAGTCCCCAAACGTCATCTTTCCTTTTGTAGGAGACTGGACTGTCTCGGAGTTGTTTGTGTAGTTTGTTCTTTTGTTGTGTTTTCACAACCCCCCGCACTCCATAGAATTTATTTTGTGATTTCCTCTCTTAATTTTTCTGTTTGGCGCATTAAACATTTGCTTTTCTGAGTGTCATTGAAGTCATCGTTGATTTACGTTTTCGGGGGCGGTCACTCTCGAGCTGAAGGCGCGGAGACCGAGAAGGAGAAAGACGTGTCTGTCATACCTGTCAACTTTTCGGAGCGCCAACCTGCATAAACTACCAAAAAAAAATCCTTATAAAGAGCAAAAAAATCCTTACAACATACCAAAGCATTTTATATGTCAAAATAACGGCAGAAAAAAACCCACGAAATATGAATGATATATTTGTTTCCTTGTAGAACTTGCTTGTACACTACTGAAGTATGCAATGAATACTTTGCTGTTTTCAACTTGGAACCACGTGATTTACTGGAAAGTTACCGGAAATGAAAGCATTCGAGTAGACTAGCACCATTCTGGGCAAAAGCAAACGGAACTACCTGATAGGGGAAAGGAAAAAAAAAAAAAAAAAATAACGGAAATTTTCAGAATCCGTATGATTTGTGCGATATGGCCATATACGTAAGATTCACCACAAAATTTCCTCATTGCGGGACAAATAAAGGCTTATCTTATATGGCAAGGCCGTGAGAATGCGAGGCGAGGGTATTACTGTTGTGGCGATGCCACTCGAGCTAAGCGAGCCTCAGCAATAGATAGTCCGTTGCTCTCTGCTGTGCGTGCTTCAGCGCGAACATGTACGCAAGCGCGTCTTTTGATTTCAACCAATCAGCGCCGACGCAACGTCACACACCCAACGTCACACACCCGACTTAACACACAACAACAGCTAGGCTAAGCTAGCCGAGACGACACTCGAAGTTGGACGGACACGTTTTTCTGCCAATCTGTGTGTTTCCCTTTTTGTCCAAATGTATTTTTTACGACAACTGTCTTGTCCACGGTGTCTTTTATTCGTTCCACTGGGGTTTAGCAAGTGTGTTTATAAAGAGACGAAAATCTCTACCGTTACTAGTGTTCGTGTCTCAACATGGCTACGCTCGTGAAAGCAGAACAACAAACTCAAACGCGTCTTCGTTGAATGTTGTCAACTAATATCCGGATTAATTTTAGGCAGATTTTCCTCAATTCTCCGGAGAGATTTTCATAAAAATTTGAAAAACCCGTAACTCCGGGAAAATCCGGAGGACTTTCATCTCTGTATAAAGAACCAACACGACAGCTCATTTGTTTTCCGTCGTTTTGCTCCACTGCAAAAACTGCCGTGTGACCGCAGGTGGAGCTGCACCGACGCTGCGCTGGTGCTGACACGCTCAGCAGCTTTGTATGTGTGACGCTCCACAAAATTTGCTGCGGAGTTAAATATATCGCAACAAAATACATCGGTGTAGCACCGGAGCAAATGTGTGCCGTGTGAACACCCGTATAGATACATGTTGCAGCTCCGAAAAAGGAGAGCTGTGGTGTTGTTTTTTTTTAAAACGTACACTTTATTGATGCTTTTAACAGTCTTGACAAACACAGACACGTCTACTTCCGACTCTTCTCTTCAACTCGAGAGGCGTTCAAATACAGCCTCTGAAAAACGGAAATTAATGATCACTTCACTTCACTAAGAAAAGCGAAAATAATGCACCAAAACAAAAAAAATCAAGCGAGGAAATCACAAAATAAATTCTATGGGGGCGTTTGTGAACACGCAACAAAGGAATGAATAACAAACAATTCTGAGACAGTCCAGTCTCCTACATACATACAGCATGTGTTTCCTTCATTGTAAGTTTTATAGAAGGTTTTTATTTTTTTGCGGCTCCAGACATATTTGTTTTTTGTTTTTTTTGTCCTATATGGCTCTTTCAACATTTTGGGTTGCCGACCCCTGCTAAAGACTAATAAAAAGGCACCTGATGTAGGTTATCATTATTTGAGCACAAAAGGGTTAAATGAACAAATCAACCTTTTATATCTATATTTTTATATCTATTTCAGAAAATTTGTCAGTGAGCGAGCCCTTGTCCGTTTTTGACCAGAGGTGGAAAAAAAAGCTTGTTTTGTCAATCAGAATATGTTCATATTTTGACTTTATGTTACACCTTAAACTTAGAAATCAGCAAAAACAAGAGGCGGGCTCTGAATGTGCGTGAGACAGAAACGCCACCCAAATCTGAGTGAGTTCGAGCAGAGTGTGAGAAATGGATGTGAAGTGTGCTGCCTTTCTTTGAAAATCTAGAAAATATGTAAGACAGCGTGAACATGATTAAGAGCCCATTACTGACCCAAGGTCAGTTTTAGACAGTGATGAAAGACCTTGGTGTGTTCCTGGTATTCTGTTGCCGCAGCAGCAGTCCCGTCCAACCCACAAAATGCTCCCACAGAACAAGCGTGACTTCACACAAGACTCCAAAACACGAGAAACACCCCAACCCACGCTTTTATTTTGGGTTTTGGCTTCTATGTTCTAAAAAAGAAAAAGCCTTTGAAGCCTTGAACACACACATTTTCATCAGAAAAACAGTGTTCATCATTGGCGCTCTATCACTTGTTTTGAAGCAATTTTTTTTTTTAATGTTATCTTCGCAAATCCCAATTTGGAAGTGCACACCCTCAATGTAGTACCACATTTCTTTTCATTAGTGTTATTTCAGTTGTTAATAGTTTAAAGCAGTGGTACCCAAACTACGGCCGGCGGGCCAAATGTGGCCCACCTCTGCATTTTGCCGGCCCGCTGAACAATACCAGAGATGCATTTTTTTTTTCTTTCAAGTCTGGCCACGTGCTCGAGACTTGTACAAGCGTAGAACGTAACATTCGATTCCACCCTTCTGCAGTCTGTGTTCTATCCGAAACCCCTCCCTCCAAAAAATAAAAATAAATAAAATCCGCAATGCACCCCTGTCAAATAAAAAAATGGACTAATGATGAAAAGATTGGGTAAGAGTTTTCTCTTACCCAATCTTTGGGTAAAAATGTTTGGTTATGATTAATTTGATAAATTGTGCCTGTCAAGAGCCCAGAAAGGGTTCATATCTGGTTGTGTGCGGCTTTTTGGAAAACAATAAATGTTAACGTCTAGACACCTCCTGCGATCGTCACACTTTTTGTAACAAATCCAACCCGGCCCCCGTCAGAGAAGGGAAAAGTTATTTGGCCCTCACAAAAAAAAAAGTTTGGGGACCCGTGGTTTATAAAGGTTTAGAATTACTGTAAAATCAATGCTCATCTCCATCCTCTGGGTCATTTTGCATTATGCTGTACCTTAGCATTAAGCTAGCAGATTTTGCTCAATGAAATTATATAGTGTGGTGAAATGGTTTTATCCTGAAGGTCAACTGGGAGTGACATAAAAAGCTCAAAGCAAGCACGCACGACCTCTTATTCGGAGAGCTGCGCGAGAGGAACATGTTGACGTGTGTTTTAATAAGTTTAAAAGTGTATAAGGGTGTGGACATCTGCAAATTGACTGAATGTTGTGCCCACAAAGAAGGTTTGAATGGAGGCCGGCGAGCGGGAAAAGCGTGCGACACATCAGCTGCCGCTGCTCTGTGGGCGTTTCCATGGCGACGGCCAGACATGAAAGCCCGTGCGGAGCTGCAGTGGCTGGCTAACAGATGCTAAGCTAGCTACTGCTGCTTTGTCTACACGCTCCCAGTGGGGCTGTGCCACATAACACTGCCAATGTCTGGCAACACGCTCCTCTAACGGGGCTGTGCAGCTTTTCCTCACCGAGCGACGACACAATTTCAATGACTTTCCTAACTATACGAGAATTTACAAAAACGTCTAGTGCCCTCTCTACCGTCCTCTGAGCATCCACGTATTGTCCGTTTAGCACCTCCTCGGATCACCTCTCAGCATTTTAGAACTAAAAGGAAGCCGCGCTTAACAAAGATCAACGCTGAACGATCACACTGGGCATTCGTCGGAATGTTTTGTTTTGTCATGTTTAATGTATTTAGTTACAAATGCAGGAGGATTAAAATGATTGACGGATTGAATTATACACGTCAGGGGCAGTCGCGGCTTTTATTGATCAATGGACCTTCATTGTGTGTGTGTGTGGTGGCGGTGATACTGTATCAGGTGTCAAAAAACAGAAAGGGGGGGGAAACGTCTGTGTTTGTTTGCAGGAATTGAGGGGCAACGATCGTGAGCTCCCCTCACACAGGATGTGATGACATCGGCGGAAGACACGCGCGCGCACTTATGGAAAGGAGCAGGAGAAAAGAGGAAAGTCAAGAAGCGGATCTTCAGTCCTTGCTCGAGAATGCCACTTTTCAGCTTTTGCTTGTCTTTGTTTGACTTTTTGTAATCATTATCCTATAGCTGGTGAAATGTGACAAAGTCATTCATTGACTAAATGGGACGCATGTCAACCCTTTCGGATTTTGAGAAAAAGTACCAAAGGGTTCAACCCACAACAACACCTACATAGCCCCCACATAAGCGCCCCGCTTAGCGCTCACTTCAGCGCCCGCTTTAGCGTCTGCTTAGCGCTCGCTTGACTGACAAGACTCACCTGCGGTGCGAGTTCCTGTTGCTATTGACATGACCCCGTCCGGAGCAGCCGGGGGTCGGGCACTTTAAAACATTCTCATACATGGCAAGGACTTGACAGGAGAAGGTGAGAGAGACAACGAGGGTTAGACAGGAGCAGACAGGAAAGTTACCAGGAAACTCCCGTCGCCAAAGGCCGAGCATGCATTAGTAGCATCCCGCAATGAACAAAGGTGATAACGTGCACATTCGGTCTTCTTGCTACACAGGCGAACGCATGCAATCATTGGGAAACAATCGTCAGGCGTGAGTGAATGTGAACCAAGGCCGTAAAATCAATTTTTTTTTGGTGTCGGGTGTTACAGATGAGTCAAGGCGAACTCATAGAAATCAGCAGCAAGCGATACTGTAAAAGGGGCATCGCATCTTCAGCAATGAATGACTCTGCGGTCACTTTCATTTCACCAGAGCCAAAAGCGAAAGCAGATGTCACGAATGTGATGAGGAGGGAGGAAAACGACGACTGGGATGTAAAAACATGTCGGAGGTAAAATAAAGAGAAGGAAAAAAAGCAGACTTACGGCAACAAAAATTCGTATCAAGAATTAAGTGTATCCATTTTGTGCTGTTTACCGGATTCGGTTGTATTGCAACAATTATCTTGCCAAGTTAGCCCAAACATACATCCTTGAGCCACACGCATTGATGTTAGAAACCGGTGGTCAGTTTTAACCCTTTCAGGGAGAGCAGTTACTACAGTGGACAGCTTATCATGTTATCCGGTTACATTATTGGTGCATGAAAGGGTTAAAGGAAAAAAAAAAAAAAGACCTGCAGTGCAACACAACAAACATGCAGAATGGATGATAAAAATGAAGGTGGCACATGTTTGGCGTTGCTTCCGACAAGTCATCTGAAAGTCTCATTCGTCTCGTCACATGATCGGTTCAGTGATTTTACAGTGAGGACAAAAAAAAAAAAAAAATGGATCTGTTTTGGCAACAAGCAGAGTATCCGTGAATTATCATAGCGAAGCTAATGCTAATGAACACATTTGGTCACGCCGAGTCAGATGACTTGTTTGCGGAGAGTCAAGTGCGTTGTGGCGTGTCGAGACTTACTCTCGGGAGGGACGCGGTCTTTGTGAGGACAGCCGGACAGGCTGCGGTGGTG